GAGCTTCACTTCCCCCGTTTCGGTTAGGTCTTCGTTCGTCTGTCCTGCTTCGTTATCAGTCGTGTGTTGTTGCAGATTACGTCTGGCAATAGACTGGCATGCAAGAAGCAAGTGCACCAGGGTGTCCGGTACGTTGCAAAGCGGGCACATAATGCTATATCTCGTTGGGTAGAGATGGTGCATTAGGGCCCCATGTTTGTATGTGCTGCTTTGCTGACGTCTCAGTATTACGCTTTCCTCTTTTGGCAGTTTTGGGTGTGATGGAAGGTATACTCGTCACTCCAGCCTGTAATGCTGGAGTAACAATGAGTAGGTGTTTTGAACAACTTCCGTCTCTTCAACGACGGGTCGAATGGCCTGTGGGCAGGGGGTAGCCCGGCTGACATGCTCGCGGGCAGCGGCGTGGGCCGCTTCATTTCCCTGCAGACCCTCGTGTCCTGGCACCCATAATACACAAGTGTATGGGGGTGGAGTGCTTCGCCGTTTCAAAATATTGATGGCATTGGCTGAGATACGGCCCTTAGCAAAATTCCTGCAGGCGGCTTGTGAGTCGGTGAAAACCACCGCGGCGTCTGTACATGTTGTAGTTGCTAGAGCAATTGCCGATTCTTCTGCGGCGTCTGAATTGAGTGCATTGACCGTGGCCGACGCTGATTCTCGGCCTTGAGAATCGACGACGCTGACAGCGTACGCGTTTCTAGGCGGATACTTGGCCGCGTCAGTGTAGCGGGCGTCCGGGTCTTGCTTGAACTTTCATCGAATAGCGTTAGCTCTAGCTTTGCGTCTACTTTTGTGGAAAGTAGGATGCATGTTGCGTGGAATAGGTGCGATGGACAGCGACTCTTTAATGTACAGGTGGATGCGCTTTTTCCGGTCTACATCGGTGATGAACGTGTCGCTGTAGTTGAGGTACGGGAGCACCGACCTCCCTGTGGGCGTCAGCTTGAGCCTCTGCAGCTGGCTGTTCCTATGCGCTTCGGTGAGCTCTTGCCACGTGCTGTGGACGCCCATCTTTAGGAGACGTGTGGTAGAGGCCATTGGCGGAAGTCCCAGGGCTACTTTAGTGGCCTTTCTTATCATGCTATTAAGTTTTCCAATTTCAGCAGTTTTCAAATTCAGGCGTACTACTGCGTGCCGTGCGTAATGCGGCTGGTGAACAGAGCTTGCGTTATACGTAGCGTATCGTGCTCTTTGAGTCCGTTTCGTTGATTCGCGATCCTCTTGACGAGGTGCGTGAGTTGTGATAGTGTCCGTTGGAGTCTTGGTATGGTGGCAGCTCCTGATCCATCCTTGTAGATGTGAACTCTATGCACTCGCAGGGTCTCGACTTTTAGAATTAAGGTTCCTTTCAGCATTACGCTAGGGTCGGGCTCGTCGTATAGAGGGGGTCTGCCTCTTGTTCTTGCTTTGAGGACGAGGTGCTCGGATTTCTTGGGGCACAGCAGAGACCGCAGTTTCTGAGACACCGTTTGATAGCATCTACGGCGGTTTGTAGGCAAGTCTCTTGTCTCCCAGTGTTCGAAGCCCTGGTCCAGAGCACGATGTCATCAGCGTAGATGGTGGGCCGAAAATCAGGTATTTTGTCGAGAATTTTTGGCAGATTGGTCATAACCACATTGCAAAGTAACGGCGAGATGACCGAACCCTGCGGCGTTTCTTTTTTCGGTAGTTGGAAGTTTTTGCTGCGGATGTTGCTTATGCCCACAGTTGCCGTATGGTCCGTCAGAAAGTTTCTGACATAAGTGTAGGTTCTAATGCCGCAGCCAATTCCTTCGAGGTTGTTGAGGATCGCGTCGTGGCTGACGTTATCTAAGGCCGCCTTGACGTCGACTCCGAGTATGGAGTAGTTTCTTCGATGGGTGAGGTGATCAAGGAGGTCTTTTTTGAGTAGTAAGAGCACGTCGTGCGTCGAAAGATGCTGCCTGAAGCCAAACATGGTGTCCGGTAGGTGTCCACTATCTTCCAGGTACTGGGTTAAGCGGTCGTGCACCATGTGTTAGAACTGCTTTCCCACGCACGACGTGAGAGAAATCGGGCGTAGGTTCTCGATGCCGACTGGTTTGTTAGGCTTAGGGATTATGGTGATTTCCGAGTGCTTTCATACCGCAGGTAGCTCTCTTTTATCCCAGCAGTCGTTGTAATATCGGAGAAGAGCCGTGGTAGCCTGGTGCGGTAGGTTGCGTAAGTTCTTGTTGACAATCCTGTCTATTCTGGGGCTGGTATTTCTTGTCAACTTCGTTAGGGCTGTGTGAGGTTCAGCCAGGCTGAAGTGCCGGTCGAGTTCAGTGTTTGGTGCACAAGCGTATTCCTTGGTGTGAATTGAAGCCCCAGTGGGTGCATCGCCACAGAGCTTCATTTGTAATTCTTTCAGGAGGTGTTCTTCTGTACCGGCGTAGTTTCGAATAAGCCTCTGAAGGTGCTGCTTCTGTACTGCATTGGAGGGTTGCGTGGCTAGAAGTGTGCGTAGCAGATGCCAGGTGTTCTTGGTGCTCAGAGTCCCCTGCAGCCTGTCACAGAAAGCGTGCCAGTTCTGCCTGGCCAATTGGTTCGCATAATCTTGAGATTGCTCGGTGAGGAGAGAAATGCGTTTCTGTAACTTTCTGTTTAGTTTTTGCCGCTTCGACCGTTTTAGAAGTCCTCTTCTAGCCTTCCAAAGGCGGAGGAGATGTGCGTCGACGGCGGGTGTATCGACGTCAAGCTGTATGTCCTTAGAGTAGCGTTCGGCTATCTTGAGCACATTCTTAAACAAGTCTTCAATGTCGATTATGGTGGTTTCAACGTCGAGGTCATTCCTAAAGGATTGCCATTCCGTTAACCGCGCTATTCCAGTCTTGGTCTGTTTAAGAGTGTGCGCTACGGACAGTTAGATAATGTGATGATCACTACTTGTTTCCGGTAGCACACTCCAGTCTGCCCCAGAGAAGTTCGCCGTAAATGTAAGATCGGGATTTGTATCCCTGGAGACGCTGTTCCCGATTCTCGTCTTCTGAAGAGGGTCATTTCACAGGGTTAGTCTGTGATGTCGAGCAGTATCGTGCACCCTAGAACTCTTCCTCGTGGTGATATGATAGCCCCATGCCATGTGAGAGGCGTTAAAGTCTCCCATTATTATGGTCTGGTGGCCATTCGTGCGCTTCCTGATTTCTCGTGTGAAGTGATCGAATTAACAGCTTTTGAATTTCAAAAGAATAGCGTGCTACCTGCATTAGCATGTAATGATTGCTATTACTAATATGTTATGCGCTATCAATGTTGTAAGCACTTGTAGTATGACATATAACTTTCCTCGATCGTTACGTATTTAATGCTTGTAACTATTGATAGTTCATTTTTTCCTATAAATAAAAGCAGCCGAAAATATTACGCATGTTCACCAGCAAACACCGACTTATTAGTGCAATCGCATAATTAAAAATCGAAACTATTTGTTGCCAAATGTGCGTATACTGTCACTGCGGTCACTAAAATTTACAAATTAAGGTACTGTGCAAGATGTAAGTGATCTTTTCCTAGCATGAAAGTGCACCCGCATTATTTTGGATGTTTCCGTAATTCTGGTTGGGTCAAAAATTATTGATGTGATTGAGCTTCCTCTTTGTTACAGTCCAGGATAACCAAAACGAAAAACAGTGGATTTCCAATAATATGTAATTTAGGAAGCATCAGTAGTAGTAATAGACGTTTCTTTCGGCCACCAACTAAACTCCGAGCATTTCGCACCACCTGCGCCATCAGTCCATGCTGTTGTTCACCTTTGGCGCCGATATCATCGAGCCATGTGGAGAATACCTATAATAGCTTTATTGAGGCAGTAAATACTTCGAAAATCATACGCCAAGCATTCCCAATATGAACACGTAGAATGCACAAACATATTCATATGATACATAAGTGTGATTTTTATTTTTTATAGACTTACAATGCGCTTTCACAAGCGTTATAACCTGCTCATGTTGTTACAGGGAGCATGCCTTTACTAGATGGACACACAGAAAAAACTCGGTGGCTATTTATTCAGTGAATTAGATTATTTTTGTATATTCAGTGCATATTATTTTTTTATTTTAGTAAAAAAGTAAGACCACTGATGTCGAGGCTTCCCACTGGCGAGTGTCCTCTGTACTTGTGCTTCTGGTAGCATCTGGTACTAAAGCAATCGTCCACGTTTGCGCAACATGACTGAGACAGCTAGTGCTAAATAGTTGATACAGGTACACAAGAAATTGCATCGATTGAAAAATTCACACACTAAACACTCAGTAATATTGTTAGTGGCTCCAAACACTATTTCGTACTTAAATTTCATCAGAATACTGGCAGTTTCTCATTTCGGTGTTCACTTTGAGCTCAGGCTGTTTTTTTATTGCTCTATATTTTACGAGATCGTAGGGACGAACACTGTTTAATCATAAGTTACGATTCATATTGCGCATAGCACACAATCCTCACAGCGCATTAAATGGACGCTTTGCCTTTTTTTCGCACCATCATCACGCTGTCCCGGACCATAGCATTTTCTCCTGTACCTTTACTGTGTGCGCCTAAATTTCTGCCTGAGCCGACATATCAACAAGACATATATTTCACAGATATTGCAGCGACTGCTTGTAGGCCCTTACGATTGTTACAGCACAGCCATATTTACATATGAAGTTCATCACTCTAATTTAACAACTGAACACTGACCCGGTGCTCCATAGACATGTTCGAATCTCGTCATAAATTAATGTATTCATCATGTTTTATGTCGGCGCTGGATGCTCAGAAAGTAAAAAGTGACCAGAGGTGCAAGATTGAATTATAAACACTGGTCATGTTTAGTGCGAATCTACAGACTTGACATTCAATACACATTCTAGCATTTTAGTGAGAATCACTAACGTGTTTAATGAAGGATTCTTAAAGCAGGCCTATATTACATTTCTAAATTGCTATAACCGGAATATTTCACAACATATTAAAACATGCTGACAATATCAGGGAGGGACGGTGGCCCTTACCTCAACTTTGTTATCGAATACTTCCTGCCACACCATGTAGTTCTTCTTTACCCCTTGGACAATATCCAGCAACCTGAAATAGCAATCGGCCACAGACAGGGGATGAAAAGATGACCGCTTTTGCAGGTAGCCTGGTATTTGAGGGCCACCCTAGCAATCGCAGCTTTATCCAAGTTCCCAGAATATACGCTGGTGGGTCATTTTTTTAGCTATATCTAACCATTAATCGACTCGAAGTCCGCAATATTTAAAAGCTATATAATTTTTAAGGGAGTGGTGACGGAAATTTTCGGAAGTTTCTTTAGCCCCGTGGCGGTGGTCTAGTGGCTAAGGCATTCAGCTGGTGGCTCTCATGTCACGGGATCGAACTCCGGCTGCGAAAGCTGCAATGGACGCGAGAATGCTGTACACCAGTATTCTCAGGTTTGGGTGTACGTTAAAGAACCCCAAGTGGTCGAAATTTCAAAAGGCCTCACTAACGGCTTCTCTCATAATTATATGAGGGTTTCGAAACTTTAAAACCCCCGTATTATTATTACCCTTTGTTTCTTTACTTTGCTGTTAATCATTGGCTACTGACTTGTTAATAGCGGCAACAAAGCTCATTTGCGTTACTGCAAGACAAATATTAAATTATATGCTCCAATGTTACGAACAAAGGCAATTAAAATTTCCAAGAGAATGCGGGGGCCCTGCGACATTATTGATCTACTCGTCAACGAAGTAAGGTGTCTGGCCACTTTCTGCTATGTTACCAGCGTTGCTGTTTAGTCCGATGTGTCGAGCGCTGTGAGTGCTTGTTTCCTCGATTTTCAAACTACGTTGCGTATCTTGTTCGGTGACAGATGAAAGAGCTGGGAGGAACGTAAAAATCAGTCAGCAAAGTTTGAGAATTTGCGAATCTCGTTTGTTGCTGTGATTTTGTCGTCGTCATCATCTGAGTAGACATTTCCAGTGAGGCTTGGTTCAACCGCTGCACAAGGCCTACTAAGGTTCTTCTACTCCGGTTAATTCTAAATTAGCAAGTGGAGAAGTCACATTGACCAATTTGACAACATTATCGATTGTACGTTAGCCCATCGCTTATGTAATACCCTCTCGGAGCTATTTGAGCACCGCCGAGGTGGTCTAGTGGCTAAGGTACTCGGCTGCTGACCCGCAGGTCGCGGGCTCAAATCCCGGCTGCGGCGGCTGCATTTCCGATGGAGGTGGAAATGTTGTATTCCCGTGTGCTCAGATTTGGGTGCACGTTAAAGAACCCCAGGTGGTCCAAATTTCTGGAGCCCTCCCCTACGACGTCTCTTATACTCATATGGTGGTTTTGGGACGTTAAATCTCGCATATCAATCAAATAATCGGAGCTATTTGAGGAAAAAACTAAGTGAATGATTAATCGAGAAAGCAGTTAAACTGACCCATCGGCACTCCGTAGCAATGTGTATGGCTATTATGATAAGTGGAGTAGTGTACGCTTTACCCACTCGTATTGAAATCCGGCAATACTGCTTTCTTCTAGCATTACGATCCTACGTACGCACATGAGAGCGCCGAAGCAGCTATATCTCTGCTACAAAATGTGAAATCCAGAAGTAGAGTGCAGCAACAACAAAAGCTGCAGTAGTGGAACTGATTGTGACGTCTTGTGGTATTTTGTCCAACTAAAGCAATTTTAGGGACTTGCTCAGCAAGCTTCTAATGATCGCGCCCTGTCATGCGGCGGCGGCGTCTGGTGTGTGCACCGGTGTTGCCAGTATACAATTCTCCGATCACCGCTAATGAGTCCTCTCTGCTGATTTCAACAATGCTTACTGGATGCCGCGCCACCACCTAAGGCGTCGGATTTCGTTGCCCCGCACGCTTGCCTCCTCGCGACTATGTCCACTTTGTTCTCGTCGCTTCGTAAGCATGGCAAAGCGTGATAAGTTGTGATTTTACGCATCTTTTACGGCACAGATATCCGGTCAACTCCGGTGTAGAACGCCTGATACCTTCAAGTCTGCCACGTTAGGCATTGACCAGTGGCGTACCCACTCTTTCTCAAGTAGGATATATATATTGAAGCACGCACGTAGGCATCACCAGGCAGGGCGAGCAGAAGCATTTATTCCGTGATGTCTACCTCGAGTTAGAACACTAACTTGAGGAAACGATGATGATGGGTATTTAAAAGTAAGAACAATGAAGTGCTTGAAATGTGCTTACAATGCCCCCCCCCCCCCCGCCTCTTCGATGCGGTCAACCTGGCAGCCACTCAGAGATCAGCTGAACGAGTAATAAAAGGCTTCATGCGCGAGGCGTGAACGATTTCCGTTCTGCGCAGACGGCGGTCAGTGAAGGACTGAAGCTGGGTTACGAGATAGATAACTGGGGATGTCTGTCGTACAACGGTGCATGGGCCCACATACTGGTGAAGAAATTTCTCGCAGAGCACTGACGCTTGAACCGGGGTCCATAGTAAAGAGTTATCGCCGGGATTAAAAGCTACGTCGCGTCGTTTGCTATCAAAGCGACGTTTTCTTTATTTTTGGTTTGCTACTTAGTTTTTTCGAGCAATTCCATGGCAGTGTGTGACTCGGGCTGCGTACTCTTCTGAGAGGGAGGTACATCTCGGAGCTGGAACCAAGAAGAGTGCCGTATCGAAGACCGAGGAGGCAGATCGGCCATACACGATAAAAAACGTGCTGTTGCCAGTTGATTGTTGTACCGCAGTATTGTAGGCGAATGTGACAAACGGTAAACCGTTATTTCAATTTTTGTGGTCAGGATCTAAGTACATGTACAACATGTCAGAGAGTTCAGAGAGTGTCAGAGAGTGTCAGAGAGCTGAGATGGAAGCGCTCAGTAAGGCCATTCGTCTGCGGGTGCTTTTAGAAGTGGTTCTATGCGTTGCATTACACGCCCACGGGATATCCTTGAGGATCTCGGAAATGAAGGCTTTGCCATGGTCATTCAGATCAAAAGAACGCAAGGGGATTCATGGCGCAAGACGACGGAGTGCAAGGAAAATTTGGCAATTTCTGTGGTGGTAGCAGAATGAATAGGTAAAGTCTCAGCATATGATGTTAGATGGTCGACTTCAGTGACAATTCAATGGTGAGCAGAAGACGTCAGCGACAAAAGACCATACAAGTCTATTCCGACAAATTCGAATGGTGTGGTCGGACAGGGAAGAGGCTGAAGGAAACCAGGGGGCGGGGATGTGGATCGCTTGCGATGCTGACACGACGCGCACGAGCCCACGCATTTGGCCACTGCGAAGACAAGCCAGGTCGGAAGCACCGCGTCTTGATGCGATCGTAGGTCTTGTGAAACCATTGACGACTGGCCGGAACACCATCGTGGAATGATTCCAAACCTTGAAGTGAAGACAGTGGGGAAAAACTGGCACTCACTTGTTATCGGTTAGATGGTAACTTTAGCGCTTGAGCACACCCTCCTCAAGGAGAAATTGTCGAAGCTGGCGTCGCAAGCGGCTGTTTTGTGGTTGAGTGACACTGGGAAGGCGGTCAAAGAAATCACGAGAATAGGAATCTGCCAGCTGAAGTGACCATAAATTGTAGCTCGAAGATAGTTGCATTGGGTCTAGCGAGGCAAACGATACGTGTTGTGAGGCAAGCTGAGTGTCAGGGTCATTCGAAGGCGATGCGTCGAACGTGTTGTCAAGAGAGAACAAAAGTGAACATCGGAACAGCGCGTCGACATCATGATGACATTTGCCAGACTTGTGCGTGACGGTAAAGTCGTACTCTAATAAGTGCAGCATCCAGCGCACTAGACGTCATCACATATTCTTCATTGATGAGATCCAACCGCACGAGTTGCCTCACAAGCCTGAATTCGGCTCACAGATGGCTACAAAGACGCCCTTTGACAAACCGCAAGCAGCGCAAACGTCGCCGCTCAGTGCAGAAGGTCATGGTACAGCGCGCACGATTTCCAGTGCTGTCTATACAATTGCGATGGTGTAACAAGACCGACGAGAGGCAATCAATGCAGCCATTTCATCTAAGTCACCAGCATCAACCCAAGCGTGTACGAGGCCTGCACCAAGCATGCCGTCACAGCCAGTGTCTTCCTACAGAATGCACCCCTGTGAAGGTCGATAAGGCGAGGCGTACACAACACCGTTACGAGGCCGGGGGTGCGGCCTCACCGGTAACCACCGCCGGGAACACACTCCCTCACCAGAGAAGGATTGGCCACCCTGGTGCAGTATCTGGCCACTACCTCCCACATGCATATATCAAATAACTCATGGCCCTAGTCCCCAGCTGCTGCGAAGCAACTGACCATGGCGGCGGTCAGATCTGCAACGCAGCAGAAGATGCTAAGAATCTCTGGATCCGGACAGGCCGCCATTGGAACCTGAACTTGGCAACGTTTAACGCTTGAACCTTATCTAGCGAGGGAAGTCTAGCTATACTATTCGAGGAGCTAGAGGGTTTTACATGGTATATAATAGGGCTCAGTGAGGTTAGGAGGACAGATGAGGCCTATACGGTGCTACAGAATGGGCACGTCCTTTGCTATCGGGGCTTGGCTTACAGAAGAGAACTGGGAGTGGGGTTCCTAATATATAGAAACATAGCTGGCAACATAGAGGAATACTACAGCATTAATGAAAAGGTGGTAGGTATCGTAATTAAACTGAATAAGAGATACAAGATGAAGGTGGTACAGGCTTACGCGCCTACATCCAGCCATAATGACGCTTCAGTTGAAAGCTTCTATGAAGACGTGGAATCGGCCATGAGTAAGGTAAAAACACAGTATACTATAGTGATGGGCGACTTTAATGCAAAGGTAGGGAAGAAGCAGGCTGGAGACCAGGCAGTAGAAGATTATGGCATCGGCACTAGAAACGCCAGAGGAGAGCTACTAATAGAATTCGCAGAACGCAATAATTTGCGGATTTTGAATACCTTCAAACGAAAACGAGAAAACCGCAAGTCGACATGAAGGAGCCCTAATGGCGAAAATAAGAACGAAATAGACTTTATAATGAGTGCACATCCAGGCATCGTGCAGGATGTGGAAGTGGTTGGCAAGGTACGGTGCGGTGACCATAGAATG